GATGAGGAGGATTACAAGATTGTTTTGAAATCATTATCCTTGGCTTCAGAGATTAATAACAAGAATGATGCCAGTCTGAGTTTGGACAGGCAATTGCTAAACAGATGGTCTTGCAGAAATACTTTTTGTGTATGATTGTGATGGCCTTTGTGCAAGGTTGTGGTTTTTGTAGGCTTCTGTGATAATTTTTGTTATCAAGGGTACAAGCTTGAGAGCCCCCTCTTCATAGCCTTCCCCAGTTCTATTTGTCAGGCATTTTATTTATTTATTTAGAGTTGAGGTCTCACTCTGTCACAGGCTGGAGTGTAGTGGCATGCTCACTGCCACCCCAGTGTCGACCTCCTGGGCTCTGGCGACCCTTCCACCTCAGCCTTCCAAGTAACTTGAACTACAGGTGTGCGCTACCATGCCCAGCTAATTTTTATTTATTTATTTATTGTAGAGATGAGGTCTCACCAAGTTGCCTGGGCTGCTCTCGAACCCGCGGGCTCAGGCAATCCTCTTGTCTCGGCCTCCCAAAGTGCTGGGATTACAGAATGAGCCACTGAGCCCGGCTTTATTTTTTTTAACACTAGTGACTGCATTTTGATTCTGACAACTTTCACACCGATGAAGGAACCCAGCAAAGTTGCAGTTACAAGCTTAACAAAAGCCAGTCATGTTTCTATGCATCAATAATGAAAAATCAAAAAGGAAATTAAGAAAACAATTCCATTTACAACAGCATTCAAAAGGATAAAATATCGCTGAATAAATGTAGTCAAGTAGGTGAAAAATGTGTATGCTGAAAACTACAAAGCATTGCTGAAAGAGATTGAAGAGCTGTGGGAATAAATACCTAGACTCTCCTCCATCCCACCAGTCTCTTAGCAGTGCCCTGTATTTGTATAACAACCAGGAGCCGGTAGGCAAAGGAACCCACTGAGGCAGTTCGCACAGATCAGCCTCCCAGGCTACTGAGTGGGATGGGGAAAGATGGAGAGTGGACTGGAGAGTGAATGGAAGACATCCAGCACCCCTCCTAATTCCAATATCTGACGTCTTTGTGGGAATATTTCTGCTACATGTTGTTTCTTTCAGCTCTCACTCATGGTGCCGTCCTTCCTTGCGCATCTTGTAATTTTTAAAATTGTGAGCTTACAGCTCTTGGAATTTTGTCTGCAGGAATTTTTTTAAGTCTTAAATTGAAGATGTATTTCTTCATAAAAAAATGTTAAGTGCTTCTTCTGAGAGCCTTGTGTCTTCACCAGCCACAGCTATTTTACATTATGCTTTTGACTTGGGGTGTTTCAGATACCCCAGTTTGCATGACTTCAGGCTTCAGATCTTCATGAAAACCTTGCTGTGACTCTGAATTTACTATTCCCTGCAGGTGATTGTACTTGCAGTGAGTGCCCTGAGAAGTTGAGTTTCTTTCTGATTCACACTTATGTTGGAAATATCACACTGTGGGGCTCCTTGTCATATCTCCTCTGTGCATCTCTGGTCTTAACCTCAGTTATGGTGGAAGGTTCTGTATGAACTCTGTGTCGGCTTTAATTTCAGCCACAGCTCCAGTTTGCCTGTCCAGACTCAGACTGGCATCATCCTTGTTGTTAATTTCTGAAGCCAAGGATAATTATTTCAAGGATGATTATGTAATCCTTCTCATCTTTTTCTTTTTCTTTTTGAGTCAGAGTCTCACTCTGTCACCCATGCTGGAGTGCATTGGCACGCTCATGGCCACTTCAGGCTCGACCTGCTGGGCTCAGGTGATCCTTCCACCTCAGCCTTCCAAGTAGCTGGAATTATAGGCATGCGTCACCATGCCCAGCTGATTTTTCTTGATTTAGAGAGGAGGTCTCACCAAGTTGCCCAGGCTGGTCTCGAACCCATGGGCTCAGGCAATCTTCTCACCTTGGCCTCCCAAAGTGCTGGGATTATAGGCGTGAGCCACAGTGCCCAGCCCTCATCTTTTTCTTAAAAAGACCTTTGTCTTCCTTTAACTCCCTGGATACATACACACACAATATAATAGGGTATGCGTATTCCCATTACAATGCCCTACTTCCAAATAAATATATTTGTTCTTTTAGAGAGCCTCTCTTTGTTTGTTTGACACTCCATCTGTACTGATAGCATTGACTAGATATACCTCTATATTCCTCCTGCTTTTGCCTGAGTACTTTTGCCAAAGTCAAGGAATCTGCTTGGCTTGCATGTCAGGGAAGCCCGTGAGGCAGAATTGATGTCCTGGAACGCAATTCTCAGTCAGGATGGAAGCTAATTCTGGCAGGTATCCTCTGTGCTTCTCAAGATGTCCTTGCAGAATCTGAATGAGAACCTCACATATTCATCCTGACACCATCCCCCCACCCTTCCCTGTCTGGACCTCCTAATTTTCATTCTTTATTTCTGCAAATAGACTTTTCTTTTTTAGGTTTTGATTTTTAGGGAACCTAAGTGAAGATAGAATCCCACCTTTATGCTTTTGCTGGAACAAGGGTTTTTCTTCTTCCTAATTTCTTATTTTTCTCTGCTAGAGGTATCTGGCGTAGAATAAAGATGAGAGTCCTGGCAGTCTCCAATTTCAAATTCATCTTGTGCCATGCTTTATAGATAAAACATTCAGTGGGCAAAACACCTAAATTTTGCCGCCATAATATCTTTTAAGAAAATTAGAACTGGAAAGTTCATATACATAGTTTCAGTTTCCTCTCAAAATTGGTAGATAAATCAGGAAAATAAATCAAGAGAACAGGAAAGAGCTCAAATTTCAAAAAAATTAGTTACCTGAAAACAGTCACGGCGAGGGCAATCACAATGGGGTAGGGCTGCATGCTGCCACCAGAGGGCAGCAGAGGCCTGGGAACAGGTGAGGAGGCAGGATCCGGGTAATGCATCCACCAGAGAGCTGATGGAAACAAGACTAGCATTTATTGGGCTCTGTTATAAACTGGTCCTTGTGCTGGGCACAGTAAAAAATTGTACAAAGTTCAAAGGCAGAGACCAGAGGTCAGAGCCAACGGAGTGGAACAGAGCAGAATTAGGAGGGTAGATCCTCAGGTCAATGAGGGAACGCCCCAAAGACAGCGTGTCTGGAAACACAAACCCAATACCAGAAATAAATACAGTGGTTGTAAGGGTCTGCTCTTGGCCAGGGAAGGTGGGTCATTGCCAGAGGATTAGGTGACGCAAATTGCTAGGATCGTGGAGTGGTGGTGGTGGTGGTGGGGGGTGTCAGCCTGCATATTTACTTTATGCTGATCAGAATTTTAACGACCCCCCCCCAACAAACACTGAACTTGTTTGGGATGATTTCTATGTCTTCTTCCACTACAGAAATAAACACAGTCACATGTCATAAGTTCCAGGCTCTTCCTTCCCGTCATGCTAGATGTGTTGGCATTTGGATAATGTCCCATGCTTGCTTTAGCATCTAACCTTTGATTTATTATAGAGATGAGGTTTTTGTTTTGTTTTGTTTGAGTCGAGTCTCTGTCGCCCAGGCTGGAGTATATAGTGGCATGCTCACAGCTACTGCAGCCTCGACCTGCTGGGCTCAGGTGATCCTTCCGCTTCAGTCTTCCAAGTAGCTGGAAATACAGGCACACGCCACCACACCCGGCTAATTTTTTGATTGATTGGAGAGACGAGGTCTCGCCAAGTTGCCCTGGCTGGTCTCAAACCCCTGGACTTAGGCAATCCTTTTGCCTCCACCTCCCAAAGTGTTATGATTACAGGCGTGAGCCATGGTGCCCAGCTGGGAAGGCCTTTTATCATCACCACGCTCCAGCAATTCTACCCAACCTGGTCAGTGATAAAATGTCCTGCCCTGTGGCCCTCCCAACCGTGATGGAGCCTGATGGGTGGCATTGGTTGTCTCATAAGCAACAAATCTTTGCTGGTTTCTTTTCAATGTTTTATTTTTCAAAATATACAATTTATTTAAATTTTTATTTCACAACTGTAGTTTTGAATATTTATTCCAAAATCTTTAAATAGCTCCTCAGTAAACAGTATGAATCACAAGATCAAAGATCAAACTGCTTCTCTTTAGCCCTTATGCTCAGCGAGTTTTTAAAAAGTTTCAAGTAGTAACAGTTTGTGGGTAAGAAGGAAACAAACAAACAAAAAACCAAGACGAAACCATTTTTTACACAAGCTCTACACGTAGGATTAGAAAGGGCCGTCTGACCAGCGACTCGGTCTGGGGCCAGACTAGGAACATTTATATCATTTATAAATAAGACCCTCTGGGGAGCAGTGAGGGTTTTGGTTATGAGGAGGGAGAGTCATCTGCCGGGTCTGGGAGCAGGGAGCCGGGTAAGGCACCACAGGGAGGCTCCCTCTCCCTTCAGGAGGCGCTGACCGGGCCGGGCCCGAGTCAGGGCACCGGCCCACTGTGGCAGGTGGAGGCCAAGGGTAGCTGGGACAAGGAGGGGCTGAGAGGCCTCTTCAGCCTCCCTTGGGGTGAGGTGTTGTGATTCTGGAGGCTGGGAGGGATGGCAGTTCCTAAGAAAAGGGGCCAGGCTCCTGCCAGCCACCCTGGGCCCGGCAGGCAGCCAAGGGCCCGCGTGTGAGGGCCGGGTGCACGGTAGCCTGGAGGTCTGGGAGGGCTGGGGGGCTGCCCCAGGATCTGGGGTAGCCTGTGGGAGGTATCATGCTGTCTCTTCTTGTGAGAGCTCTTCGTCCACCTCAGCGCCACCAAACCTTCTCCAGGAAGGGCAGGAGGGGAAGACAGGGGCCATGGGCCCCACAGACCAGCCCTTGGCTGTGGACACGGAGCTCCACCCTGGGGTGCAGCTCCTAGGAAGCCCGAGGCGCCAGGGCCCAGGTGGGACACAGGCATGGCCCCAGGGGTCAGTTTTCTTCATTCCCCTTGGGGGTGTTACTCTTGGCCAGGTCCTGAAGCAGTCCCGTGGGCTAAGGTCTAGGCAGAGAAAGAGCTGGTCCCCGAAGGTCATCTGGTCACCAAACGGATGTGACCCTCTTGTGGCGGGTCGGGCGGGTGGTCTTGCCTCAAGGTCCCCTCAGCATCTTCCACCAAGTCCCAGGGCCAGACAGAACCTGTGCTACCTGGCCGAGCCAACCTTCTTAGCAGGATCTGGATGGAGTATTGGGTGGGGTGGGGGGCAGGGACCAGGGCCAGGCTGAAGGCAGGACGGAGGGGCTGGGAGCTGTCACTCCGTCTTCGGGTGGGGTTCCTCTGGGATGAGGGTGTGGAAAAAGTAATCCCACAATTTAGTGCTGATGCCGAATCCTGGAGAGGGAAAGAGGAGGCACTGGTGAGGAAGGAGGGAGGCATTTGCTTGGAAAGGGAGTCAGGGGAGTGCAAGCTGGCGGGGAGGCTGTTGACACCGGCACCCAAGGCCTTCCCGACCCCCAGCGTCATCCTGGCAGAAGTCAAGATGGAGCTGGAAGAGACCGCCATTCCTTATCTGGCCTGGGCTCCTGGGATACCTGGCGCCCCGCCTGCCCCTGCTTGTCTCTGCCTGCCCCTCCCCCACCTCCATCTTCTCCCCCACCCCAGTCCATTCCTGCTTCAGGGCTTTGCCCCAGTTGCTCCTGGGATGCCAGATGCTGGCTTCTCTTCACTGGGATCTCGGCTCTAAGGGCTTCTCCGCAGCGACACGTTTCTTGACCATTTTATCTCGAGTTTTGCTGTCCAGCTAGCCACATGCAGTTACTGAGTGAACATGGGCAGTGTGGCTAGAGCTATGGAGGAACCGAATTTCTAACTTCATTTAATTTTAATTAATTTGAATTTCGGTGTAAAAACGAACTGGAGAATTTTGAAAGCATGTTTGGAGCAACTCAGCTATGTGAATCTACTTTTTGACTCCAAATTGTATAAAATCTACATGTAGATCTAGTATCTCCACAAACATTAGCATTTGAATTGCGATGTGCTGTTAGTATAAAACATGCCCTGGGTTTTGATGATTTTGTAGAAGAGGCATTAATGATTTTGTATGTTGATGACATGCTGAAATGATATTTTGGTTATGTTGGATTAAATATATTATGAAAATGATTTTCAACTGTGGATTTTCACATTTTAATGTGACCACTAGAAAATGTATTTTATTTTTTGAGTTGGAGTCTCACTCTGTCACCCAGACTGGAGTGTAGTGGCATGATCATGGCTCACCGTAGCCTCGACCTCCTGGCTCAGGCAGTCCTTCTGCATCAGCCTCTCAAGAGGACTACAGGTGTGTGCCACTATGTCCAGCTAATTTGTTGATTTTTTTGAAGCCATGAGGTCTCACTATGTTGCCCACACTGGTCTCGAACGCCTAGGCTCAAACAATCCTCCCGCCTAGGCCTCCCAAAGTGCTGGGATTACAGGTGTGAGCTACTGTGCCCAGCCTGAACATTTAAAATCATATATGTGGCCTGCATATTTCACTGAACAGTGCTGGACCCCTCCCTGCACCTACATGGTTCCTCAACTATCACCTTGCTTTATTTTCTTTATGGCATTTATCACTGTCTGAAATTATCTTGGCCATTTATTGATGTCTTTGTCTCTGTATAGCCCCCTGCGCCCGCGAATAGGATGGAGGGAGCCCTCCGTGTATGCCTGGCACCCAGAACAGTCCTTAGTAGGGGCTCAAGGGTAGTTGTCAAATAAATCAACAAACACACAAGGGAGACACTGGCCCGTGCTCACCTGACTTCTGGTGTGCAAAGTGGTGCTTGACATGGTGGGTCTTCATGCTGTACAGGTAGGAGCCCTTGTGCGGCGAACCAAAGTGCAGGTAGTAATGGATCATGTCGTAGATGACGTAGCCCAGGAGGCCCCCTGCAAACAAAGTGCCCCCCACCGCCTCGGGCAGGATGAACTGTAACAACCCGTAGAAGAAGGCGATTACCAGAGATGCCGGCACAGGCGGGAAGACCAGGCGGGAGCCGTCGAAGGGTGCCTGTGGACCGAAGGCTTGCATGTCAGGAGGCAGCCCTAGGCCCCAGGGCCTGTCTGCGGTTACAGCATGCCAAGCCAGAGCCATTCTCCTCAGAGGACCAGGGCGGAGCAGCCCAGACATTCCAGTGAGGGAGTAGCAACCTGTCATGGGTAGGCTTGGCGCCCTTGGTGGTTTGGGGAGGGCAGGTTGCCATGCCTGAAAGACCTGGAGAATCTGCCCGGTTCCCCTCTGCAAGCCGGGGTGGGGCCTGGCAAATGGCTGAGGAACATGGGAACAGGGGCGATGTGAGGCAGGACAGGCCGGGTGTGCTGATGGCTCAGGGCCTACCACATTCGCTAGAGGTTATTTTGGCTCTCGAATGTGTTAGGTGCTAGACAGGAGCCCCGCCCCCAAGCACCATGCCTCTGGCTAGAGGGACTTTCTGGAGACAGGGCACCAAATCGGAGGCCCAATGGAGTCAGGGAGGGCAATGCATCAGCGAGCTGAGGTTAATGATGCTTCCATGGTGGGGAGACCCTGGAAGCTACTAGAAATGTTCTTCCCATCCCCATGTCCAAACAAGAGGCCTTCTTTGTTCCGAGAGGGTGTGGTCACAGTGAAACAGAGAACAAAGGGGCCAAGCCTTTGGCTCTTGAGCTTCAAAAGCCAAGGGCCTGGCATAGAGGTCAGATTTTAGCTACTGCTTAGTGAACAGACAGAGAAGAGGGAGACCCTTCTTCAGACAGAGAGAGAGAAAATAGGTGATAGCCAAACAGTGTTAGGCTGGTGTGGGCCCCCCTTCCCTCAGACCAGGGGCAGCAGGACGCGTGGTGTGTAGGAAAACCAGCTCTCAGAAAAAAAAGGGAATGGAAGGAAGGAGAGAGGAAGAGAGGGATAAAGGGAGGAACAAAGGGAGGGAGGAAGTGTGAGCCCTGATTTGTAGCATTTGCTAATTCCTGTGGTGTAAACACTCCCACGATGGCTGGTTTCAAGCTACCAATGTGACGTCACTGAAAGTAAAGCCAGGAGGGAGGGACACGATGGCTCCATGGGTAGGTACAGGCAGGCTCCAGGTCACAATTAGATTAGGTCCCTCAGATGGATAGGTTTGGAGATCTGAGAATACGTTCCTGGTTGGATCCCAGCTGGCTATGGATCACACAAGCTCTTTGCATCCTTATGGTGTGGCAGCAGGGGACTGGGCAGATTGGTGTGGAAATATCTTGGGAGAGGGAACCTGAGGCAGCCCCTGGAGCCCTAAGTGGCCTGAGCAGGCCTCTAGAAGGTCTCCTTAAGGATGGGAAAGTTAGCTGATGGGGTAGTGGATTTGAAAAGGTATCATGAGTTAGAAGGGACATGGCCGATGCAGAGAGCCCTGGAGAGCAGGGCCAGGTGGGACTGGACATCAGTCTGGAGGGAGGATACTGGCCAGGCCTGGACCAGAACTGTGGGACCTCTTAGAGCATACCTGACCAACAGGTTGACCCAGCGCTGGACACCCACCTCAATACTGGCTGCTCTGAAAGCCCCCTAGGATGCAGACCATCTCTGAGGAGAGCAGAAGGGCAACGTGCCCAGCCTGCCTGAGAACTCTCTGAGTCAGTTGGAAAAAACTCTGAATTTGGCTCATTTGATGAACTAGATTGAGTTACTGCCGGGAAACCAAGGTGAAATCAGGTTCCATATCAGGGTCTTTTTTTGTTTGTTTGTTTGTTTTCCACAATTGGTGTCCTGAAAAGTGTCATATCTGCTACATTTTCTCTGATTTATGCCCACCAGAGAACAAGAGAACAGAAGGTGGGAGGAAAGGACTCACTTTCAAGGAGATGGAAAGATAAGGGCAAGTCCAGAGCTTGGGGGCCTGGTGGGAGCGTCCAGGGACAAGCCAAGGACAGCACAGTGCAGGGATAGAGAGGCCACCAGGGGGGAATACAGCTTCCTTTGTGCAGACCTGTCTTCTAGGCCCAGCTTCTGGGACATCACAGAGTCCTTGAAGAGCCCCAGGGTGGTGGATGGTTGAGAGCCCAGACTCTGGAACCCCCAGGACAGGGTTCAACATCCTGGCTGTGCCAGGTGTGTCTCAGGACAAGTTCCCTAGTTTCCCCAAGCCTTAGTTTCCTACTCTGTGGAACAGGGAGCACCATCTTCAGAAGGAAGCTCCATAAGGGCAAAGGTTTTTGTCTGTTTTGTTCAGTGATGTCTAGAGCAGTGCTTGGCACATAGTAAGTGCTCACTGAACATTTGCAGAATGAATGAGTGGATGAATGAGTCATGGTGAGGGTTAAAGATGGTATATAAAGGGTGGGACAGAGTGCCTGGTGTTAACAACTATGGCGTGTGTGTGTACGCGTGCGCATACACACACACACGCATACTCTCCCTCTGTCCCTGCTCGACCCAATCACTCCTGTGAACATCGTCAAATGCCCTGGGTTTCCCATCACTCCCAACCCATCACCAGACTCCCAGCAAGTCGGGCTGGCTGTGTGTGTGGCCCTGGGTGGGGACCCCGCCCTGCTCACCTTGTGGTGCTGGCCGTGCATGACGAAGTGCAGCAGGATGAGGTAATAGCTGTTGCTGGGCGGCTTCATGTGGAACAGGAAGCGGTGGATGAGGTACTCTATGAGGCTCCAGAGGAGCATGCCCAGCAGGAAGAGGCCAGGGAACACAAACTCGGGCACCACCACCGAGTACTCTGCAGGGGTGGCAGAGCGCGCGAGGTCAGGGCCAGCGGGCCATGGTGCCCCACAGCACCTGGTGGCTCCAGATGTCCCCGTCTCACCATCCCGGTCAGCTTAGGGGCTGCTACCCTCCGTCCTGCGGTGACAGGGTCAGGCTAGGCCCCACAGCTGGGCCCATGGGTCAAAATGGGAAGGAGGCTGTGGGCTCCAGAGTGGGCTCTGGAGGGGCCTTTGCAGGAGCAACAGGCTGTGACCTGCTCCGGACTTTGGCCTGGAAGGGTGGGCTTGCCTCAGGGGAATCAGGGAGAAGGAGACAATCCTGAGCCGGGGGTTACGGAACTGCCAGAGACCATGGGGCAGCAAGGACGGGAGAAACCAAGCACAGAAATCTCAACAGACAAGACGTGAACTCAGAGCAGAGGAGGGAGATCTGAAAAAACTGAAAATGATCGACCGAAACCAGTTCTGGGCCACGGCGCCTGACCCAGGACTCCATCCCATTTTAAGGCTGGAGGAGATTCACATTTTATCTGTCCATCCATTGAGACCTCTCTGGGCTGTGTGCATGCTTTGGGTCTTGTGAATGATGCTGCTATGAATATTCGTGTACTGGTTTTGGTGCGAACTGATATTTTTGCTCCTCTTGGGTTCATACCTAGGGGTGGAACTGCTGGGTCATGTCATATAACTCCATGTTTAAACTGAAGATGACCGGAAGCCTGGGGGGATGTCGCGAGGTTCCCAGTATCCAGCCCTTTGATGACAAACTGCAGTCCTTGCAGTTCGCGGTTCTTTACTTCATTCTTTCTGTGACCTCACAGGGACCTCGGCTCTCGTCCCTGCATTTTCCATACCCACCCTCTTAGCTTCTCTGCTTTCTCCGTGGGACATGGCTTCAGTTACTCTTTCTTTGGCCACTAAAGTTGGTTTTTTTGGTTTTGGGTTTTTACTGGGGGGTTGGAGTTTCACTCTGTCAACCAGGCTGGAGTGCAGTGGCCATGGTCATGGCTCACTGCAGCCTCTACCTCCTGAGTTCAGGTGATCCTTCTGTTTCAGCCTCCAGAGTAGCTGGGACTACAGGAGTGAGCCACCAGGCCTGGCTAATTTTTTGATTTTTTTGTAGAGACGAGGTCTCACTATATTGTCCAGGTTGGTCTCAAACTCCTGGGCTCAAGCATTTCTGCTACCTTGCCCTTCCAAAGTGCTGGGATTACAGGTGTGAGCCACCGTGCTTGGCTGTTATTTTTACATAACAGCTTTATAAAAATCGAATTCATGTACCATACGATTTATTCACATTAGGCATACAATTCAGCGGTTTTTAGTATATTCAGAGTTGTGCAACCATCACCCTCAAAAGAAACCCTGTTCCCATTATCAGTCACTCCCCATTTCTTCCCAAACACTCCCAGTTCTCGAAAACCCCTATTCTACTTTCTGTCTGTAGGATTAGCCTATTCTGGACATTTCATATACATGGAATCATACAACATGTAGTCTTTTTTGACTGACTTTTTTTTTTTTTGAGTTGGAGTCTCACTCTGTCACCCAGACTGGAGTGCAGTGGCCGCTCCCGACCACCGCAGCCTCGACCTGCTGGGCTCCAGCGATCCTTCCACTCAGTCTTCCAAGTAGCTGGAACTACAAGCACGTGCTACCACGCCCAGCTAATTTTTGATTTATTGTAAAGATTAGGTCTTGCCCAGGCGGGTCTCGAACCTGCAGGCTCAGACAATTCACTCACCTCAGCCTCCCAAAGTGCGGGATTACAGGCTGAGCCACCGAACCCAGCCTGACTTCTTTCACTTAATATTTTCAAGGTCCACTGATGCTATAGCATGTATCAGAACTTCATGCCTTTTAATTTACTTTTTTTAAAAAGATGGTGGTCTTGTTATGTTACTCCTAGCCTCAAGTGATCCTCCCACCTTGGCCTCCCAAAGTGCTGGGATTATAGGCATGAGCCACTGCACCTGGCCCAGAACGTCACTCCATTTTAAGGCTGAATGAGATTCACATTTTATCTGTCCATCCATCGAGGCTTCTCTGGGCTATTTGCATGTTTTGGCTCTTGCGAATAATGCTGCTATGAGCGCTCGTGTTTTGGTGTGAACAGGTGTTTTTGTTTCTCTTGGGTACATACCTAGGGGTGGAATTGCTGGGTCATGTCATCACTCTATGTTTAACCTTTTGAGAAACTGCCAGACTGTTTCCCAAAGCTAGCCATGTTCTTTTAACCTTTACTCCATCTCTGTCATTTGTACCCACAAACCCCCAATGTTGGGTCAGTAGGAGAACCTGTCACCCCGTACCCAAGCTGCTGAGCCTGGAGGGAGAGTCATGCCGCTGCGGGTCTGGCACCTTTGACCTCCACGAGACCCAAAACACTGCCTGGCAGGGGATCCTTGCATGTCTCTCGCTTCAGCTCCCTCTCCACCGCCCTCAGACATTCTCCATTCCACTTCACTCCTTCTCCTTCCACCCAGTCTCCTGCTTCCAGAGAAGCCTGGGGCAGGGGAGAAGGGAGAAAGAAACTGCTCCTCCCACACCCTCCTTCCACCTCCAGCCACACCAGATTCTGCCCTCATCCTGGAGTATCATTCTTGCTCCTCAGGGAAGAGGTGTGCGCCCTGGGACCCAGGCCTGGATGATCAGAATAATAAAAGTAGATGTGTCTTGACCTATGTGCCCGACACCATTCAAGTGGATTACTTCATATTTCCTTTCTTTCTTTCCTTTTTTTTTTTTTTTTTAAGAGAGACAAGGTCTGGCTCTGCCATCCAGGCTGGAATGCGGTGGTGCAATCATAGCTCAGTGCAGCCTCAAACTCCTGGCCTCAAGTGATCCTCCTGCCTCAGTCGCCTAAGTAGCTGGGGCTATAGGCATGAACCACCACATCCAGTTATTTATTTATTCTTTTGCTATGTTGCCCCGGCTGGGGATCACTTCATATTTCATCTCACCATGGCCTTATGAGGGAAACTCTGGAATTGTCATACGGATAAGGATGTAGAAGCACAGAAAAATTATGTTGCTTGCCAGGCTCACCCCACTAAGCAGTGGGAAGCCCTCAGCTGCCTCCTCTTGAAGCCCCTCCATCCCAACCAGCTCCTCTGGGCACCTTCAACCTCTCCTCCCCTGGCTCTTCTCTCACCTCTACGAGGTAGGCAAGACTTTCCCACATGGACTCGGCCCCTTCATCATTGCTCAGTGCAGCCCCGAGAAGCTAGGATGGACCCATGGCTTGCCTTTGCTGCTTCCCATCGGCTCATCGAGTCTCTAAAATCTGTCTTCTGCCCTAGTCTACCACAGCTGCGAAGGCCATTCGTGGATATTTCTTGCCAAATCTAAGTAATTCTTTCAATCCACCTCTAACTCAACGGTGGCATATGACATTAGAGACTGCTTTCTGCTTAAGCCTGCAGCTGCCCGGGTTCTCAGCCCAAGGCTTAGGACTGTCGGGAGGTATGAAGTTGGATCGTGGGGTGTCTGTGAGCCCGTTGAAATCTATCCAGTTACTCTCCTGAGGGCATTTTTCTGGGGAGAGGGTCCACAGCTTCACACATTCTCAAAGGACCTGGGACCAAGAAGATTGGAAGAGACAGCCCATCCTTGCCTGCTGGAGCACCTGGCTCTCCTCCTCTTCTCGGGATGCCCTGCTCAGGCTCCATCTTGGAAACCCTGCCTCTGTCCCCAGAGTCAAAGCCGTGGCCTTCCAGCTCTCTGCTCCATCCCTGCCTTCAGCCACGCCCCACTTGCTGGTGACCCGCAGATTTGCACCTCCAACTCCGCTTGCTGCTGGGCAGTTCCACGTGGTTGGCTATAGGCCCCCAAGGTTCACATCTCCAAAATGAGGCCACACCTATTCCTCTCTCTTTGCGCCCACCCCACCACAGGCTTCTTTCTTGGGCTCCCTTTCTCAGGGGAATACTGACATCCACATGTTACCAAAGGAGTCAGGCTTGTTATCCCTCTCCCCCATGTTCAATCAGTCACTGAACCCTGCCGGCTTCACCTCCTTGGGATCTCTTGGCAAAGCAAAAGATACCAGACACCAAAGGCCACCGAGGATGTGATTCCACTTATATGAAATGGCCAGGATAAGTGAATTCATGAAGACAAAGAGCAGATTGGTGGCTTCCAGGGGCTGGGGGAGGGGGAGGGGAAATGAGAAGCAACTGCTCAACAGGTGTAGGGTTTCATTTTGGGGTGATGAAAACATTTTGGAAATAGAAAGAGGTGGTGATTGCACGACGTTGCTAAATGCCACTGAATTGTTCACTCTAAATGGTTGATTTTGTGTTATATGAATCTCACTTCAATTAAATCTATCCATCTGTTTTTCCATCTATCCATCCATCCATCCATTATCTGTCCATCTATCCATCATCTATTTATCCATCCATCCACTATCTATCTATCTATCTATCTATCTATCTATCTATCTATCTATCCATCCATCCTGTCCATCTAACCATCCATCCATCTTGGCTGAGTCTACTGCTCTGAATCCCATCACCTTGTCTCCTCACGCTCCCACAACCGCATCAGCCTCCTACTCAACTCCCTGTCTCTACACGCTGTTAAAACCCTTCCATGGTGCCTCATGACCTCCAGGCAAAGTCCTAACCCCATGGTATCACACTCAAGGTCCCTTGAGACCTGCTCCTGCCAGCCATGTCTCTGCCTCCTCTCTTCGTCACCTGTAACTGGGGCCAAACCAAACCGTGTGTGACTTCTTGAATGTGAGTCTATAATTTTGCTTGTGCCTCCTTCATTGGAATCCCCTCCCTGCCTCCCTTATCTTTGGCAATTCAGCCCCAGGTGAAGCCTGTGTGGATGCCCTTCCCCACCCTCAGTGAAACTCCTGGGTCCTCCTCAGCCCCCGATGTTACCCTCACACTGCACTGTGCCTGCTGTTTTGTTCACTTGTCCCCCACGAGGTTATGAGCATTTTGTGGGGAGGGTCTGCGTCTTTCATTTTATATGCCCAGTGCTGAACATAGCAGGTGCTCAGAGAGCTGCTGGGAGAATAATAGGTAAAAGAATACCCTCCAAAGGGCTTGCATGGATCAGATGTGATCTGTGTCATCCAAAGTGTAGAACCAGGCCCAGTGGGGGGCAGCTTTGGGTTAAGGAGATACCTCTGAAGGGCTCGAGCTGTGTGCACATTGTGAGCAGGCCCAGGATGGATGACCACAGGTGACTGGAGAGGAGAAAGTCCAGGAAGGCAGGGCGGGAGAGTGGACTTTCTAGCTCTCAGGACAAGATCCTAGGTCTGATATTCAGTTCTAAATGAATCTTCGTGCAATGAAAATATTTTTTTCACACCTCACCTGGGAACTAAAATGCTGCAGCCAAGATTCAGCCCCCAAAGTATCCTCTCTCTCGTCATGTTTTAGGTTGGTCTGACATCTCTTATCAGGGGGTCTTCTCTGTTCACATCTGGTACAAGATGCTTGCCTAACAGCCTTGCAGCCTTTGACTGCAAGTGGCCAGTTGGCCTTAGTTAGACCACTCTAGGTGGTCAGAGATGCTGCTTCCAGGGAAGTCGCGACACGTCTGGTCTTTCCAATCATTCAGGTGAAGTACAGAAAGCATGGGCTTTGGGTTTGCAGACCTGGGTTCAAATCCTGGCTCCACACGGCTTACCTGCTATAGTTTTCTCAAAAGTAAAATATCCTACCCATCTTGAAGGGCAGTTGTTAGGATGAAGGTAATATAATACCTGATGCTATAGTGAGTATATATGCTATATTTTATAATGAGGATAATATATATTAATATTTATTATAATCATATTATATACTCCTGGCATTTAGCAAGTAGCTACTTTATTTTATTTTATTTTATTTTTTTAGTTGGAGTCTCCCTCTGTCACCCAGACTGGAGTGCAGTGGCCGCTCCCGGCCACCACAGCCTCGACCTGCTGGGCTCTGGCGATCCTTCCGCCTCAGCCTTCCAAGTAGCTGGAACTACAGGCACGCGCTGCCACGCCTGGCTCATTTTTAATTTATTGTATAGATGAGGTCTCGCCAAGTTACCCGGGCAGGTCTCGAACCCACAGGCTCAGGCAATCCACTCACCTCAGCCTCCCAAAGGCGCGGGATTACAGGCTGAGCCACCGAGCCCGGCGTAGCTACTTTAATTTCTAAACAAAATGAGCCCAAGTCCATTCATCTCAGTTCTGATGCATGGTCCTACTTTTGCCCACCTCCCGATTCCCTGCAGACCTCCAGAGGGTCCCAGGTTGAGAAAGGGGGAGTTTATCAGCTCCCCGATTCTCCCTGTCCAGAGCTGAGGTGCCCTTCCTCACCTCTTAGCTCTCTTATTGGGGAGAAAGGACTGGCCACACAGGAACATTCCCTGACCACAGACTTTGGCCTGACCTTTGCCGGGATGCCCACACATCATCCCACTGGCAGCCTGCGTCCTCATGCAGGACGCCACTCAGCAGAGGGGCTGGCTCAGTGCTCACTCTAACACACCCTTGGGAAGTGCTCTGGGGACATCCTGAGCTTGTAGGCTCCTCTGGTTTTTCAAAGCATTTTCTTTTCTTTTTTTCTGAGTTGGAGTCTCTGTTGCCCAGACTGGAGTGCAGTGGCACACTCATGGCCACGACAGCCTCGACCTGCTGGGTTCCGGCAATCCTTCTGCCTCAGCCTTCCAAGTAGCTGGAACTACAGGCGTGTGCTACCATGCACAGCTAGTTTTTAATTTTTATTGTAGAGACGAGGTCTTGCCAAGTTGCCCGGGTGGGTCTTGAACCTGCGGGCTCAGGCAATCCACTCGCCTCGGCCTCCCAAAGGGCTGGAATTACAGACTGAGCCACCGAGCCCGGCCTCGAAGCCTTTTCATACATGCATCTAGGAATGTCAGCCTTGAACTGCTGTCCCCGTTCAGCCTCCACTGAACCTTGGCACTCTGACTCTTCTGCATTTATTCCAGCAAGTCCTTTGTCCAGCAGCCGCACTGGGACCCTGCCGAGTCTCCCCTAGTCTCGCTTTGTGGGCTTTTATTTTCTTTGCCTGTGGTTTGTGCCCTGCGTGACAAGCGAGGGAACAAGGGCGGCAAAGGGAGCCATATCTCTCATGGCTCTACCACTGGCATCATGGTCACAGGCGTACTCACTCTCTATACTGGACCTTAGAAGACACGCATATTTCAGCTCTCTGCAGAGGCCTGCAGGGCCGATGGGGTCCTCAAATCACCCTCCCTGCCATACAGAAAAGTCCCCTCCTATAGGTCAAGCCTCTGCCCGCCCCCTCACCCCAGCATCAGCCTTGTCTGCCCATCCGGCCGGAGCTGGTACTGAGTGGCATCTCTGGAGGAATCTGGCAGAGGGACCTGGGCCAAAGCCTCAGCATCCCCTTCCCCCTCTGGCCGCCAGCCCTGGCGGCCCTGCCACTGTTTGTGATTGTTAGGGGAGTGCCGGCGGACAGAGGACGATTCAGCGTGCAGGCCTTCTGAGCAACAAGCCCCGTGCTGTGCCTGAGCTATTCCGCGTGGGCAGAAAAGGGTAACCTTGGCTCTAGGGGCACCCGCAGTAACCCTCAGTGACCGGGGACAGCACTGGGCTGGGTTGGAGGGGGACTTGCTCATTCAGGTGGATAAACGGAAGCCCCTGATGCTGAGTTTGGGGCCCCTCTCATCTCAACCATTCAGGCCCTTGACCTGCCGCCCCTGGGAGAGGTGGGTAGAAAAAAAGCTCCAGAGTGTAGGGAAAAGAGGTTGTGCTTGGCAGGGTGAGTGAGGCTCAGAGGCTCAGAGTCAGGAATGTGGCATGTGGGCAGGAGAGGAAAGCTCACCCGAGAGGCATGTGGCTCCCAGCACCTCCCAGAGGCAGGCTGGGCCAGGACAGATAGACCACCTAGGCAGGGGGTAGGCACCTAGAGGCCCCAGGTAGGCGGTGATCTTGTGGGGCCAGCTGGCAAAGAGGCCACACCTAAGCCTGTGGCCACCCTCAGAGACTCGGTCCCATAGGCTTTTTGGTCATTGCCCCATGTCAGTCTCCTTCTCTGTTCCCTGCCCTCCGACTAGAAGCTGGGGAGCTTCTGGTGTCTGCATCCTAGCCACGTGACCCTGAGCCACTACTTGACATCTCTGAGGCTCTATTTCTTCAGCTCTGAAAGGGGATAATGCTAGGACCCTTCTCATGGGCTGCTGGGAGGGATACAGGGAATAGTTCTGGAAAGCACATGGCATGGTGCATGGTAAGTGCCCAGCAGAGGTTAATGGGTGATACTCCCAGTCTGGGGCTCTGCTGCAGAACCTTTTGCCTTAGGGACACTCTAGGGCACCCCTAGATCTTTCTCTTCCATGGACAATCCCACTTCAGCTCTCAACCATGCCACCCAGTGGAGTAATTTCATTTAGTTTCTTGACAGTGAATCCCAGGACAAACATTTTCTGGCATTAGATTCAGTGAGAAGCCAGCCCTCTTTTTCACTGCTGTGTCACCTGATGGAATGATTTCATTTAGTTTATCCTGATGAGTTGTTGGGTTTTATATCCATTTGGGTGGTGGGTGGGAGGGAGTCTAACAAAATTTTTCTTTGGAAGACTTTTTCTTTCTTTCCTCCCTCCCTCCCCCCTTCCTTCTTTCTTTAAAAATAAGACTTTCTTTATTACTTTTTGAGTCCAAGTTTTACTATGTCACCCAGACTGGAATGCAGTGGCATGGTCACGACTCACAGCAGCCTCGACTTCATGGACTTAGGAGGTCCTTCTGCCTCAGCCTTCGAGTAGCTGGGATACAGGCATGTACCACCATGCCCAGCTAATTATTTTTATTTTCATTTTTCGTAGAGACAAGGTCTTGCTGTGCTGCCTACGCTGCTCTCAAACTCTGGGGCTCAAGCGATGCTCTTGCCTCAGCCTCTCAACGTGCTGGAATTCCAGGCATGAGCCACGGTGCCCGACCTTGAAAGACTATTTCTACAGAGAGGCCTCACTGGAAATGTTTGTGATGTGGTTTGGGGTTCTGTGCACTTAAAAACCCTGGGCCAGGGAGAACAACTGAGGTTTCCTGCCTCCAGGATCCATGAGAGCAAGTCAGGAAGGAACCTGGCATTACCTGTTGTGAATGATGCAAAGAGCCGGACGTTGCCCTGGGCGAGGGTTCTATAGTAGGACCAGCTTAGATACAGCATCAGGGGCACCCAGATGATGGGGACGCTGTACCTGCAGGAGGGCCATCAGGGTGAGAGAGATACACATACAGGTGCTTGACAGGGTCCAGCTTTCCTAGAGACACACACTTCTTTCTTTTTTTTTTTTTTTTTGAGTTGGAGTCTCACTCCGTTGCCCAGACTGGAGTGCAGTGGCCGCTCCCGGCCACCGCAGCCTTGACCTGCTGGGCTCCAGCGATCCTTCTGCCTCAGCCTTCCAAGTAGCTGGAACTACAGGCACACGCTACCACGCCCGGCTAATTTTTGATTTATTGTAGAGATGAGGTCTCGCCAACTTGCTCAGGCGGGTCTCGAACCTGCGGGCTCAGGCAATCCACTCACCTCAGCCTCCCAAAGCGCGGGATTACAGGCTGAGCCACCAAGCCCAGCTGAGATATACATTTCAACTGGGGAGGGGCGTGTAGACAAGATGACACTAAAGCACATGCAAAAAGCATATGAGGACCTAGGGTCAAAAGACACCAGTATGGGACATGAGAAAGAGAAAAGAAGAGAGAGGTTGTGAGTCTCTCTGCCTCCCATCTCTGAGATTAGTTATGACAGAAAAGAACTTTGTCCCCAGGACTCCTGACTCTATGTAGCTGGACAGATGCTGACCTCTTGTGGCAGAGGAGCTAATTGCAGGCAAAATTGTTCCCATGGGCATTAAAGGCTAGAACCACTTCCCCATAGGAGTCTGGAATAGACCAGGGATGGCAGTCAAAGTGGCTTCTGGCTACATGTTGGGCTGTCACCAGCTCAGTGGACAAAACCATGCATAGGAATGAGTTATGCCCATGGCAGTTTCCACCCTCTTCAAGAGTTTACAGCACAGCCCTGGGCTCTTGGGAGGTACCCAATTTCCCCTCCCCCTTCCTTATCTGATTGGTACAATCAGGAGTGGGCGACAGCCTGCAACAGTCTCAGGGAAGAGCTCACCAGACAGTCTTGGAGAGGGCCTCGACGAGGTCTGAGTGGAAGAGGCGGATGGGTCTGCTCACCGGCTGGTGGACCCACTCATCATACTTCTCTCCCAAGTGGCCCACCTGCCACAGGAGAGGCTTTTGCCAGTCCACCAGGTCCTGCAAGAGATGAAGCCAAGTGGACACTTGATATTCATGTCTTCCCACATTTGTCCTCCCGTCTCCTGGGTGTGGCATCCCAATGCCCACCTCCCACCTCGGCTCATGTGGTCTGTGTGGGGTTACCCTCCCTCCTGCTTCAATGACCCAGAAAAACCAAGCTGCTCATCCTAGCCCCAAGTCACAGCAATGGGATCCACTACAGGCTCGTGACTTGAGCTGGACCCATAAGCTGACAGATACATTCTGTTCCTGCTGGAGTTGCTGAGTTGGCAGGGCATGAGCCTGGAGTTGCTAGCAGGAGCTTCCTGAGGACCCAGCTGGCACAGAGCATGGCCAAGCCAAGAACTAGAGAGGGAGTCTTGGTGATGACAACTGAGCACTCAGATTCAGCCACACCCGAATTGAAAGTCTTGCCCAGGATCCTATAGGTATAAGAGGTGATACATTCTGTATCAGGAATGATGTAGGACCTTTCCCCTCTACTATGGGCTTTCTTCTTGGCATTGGTCTTGGTAATTCATTCATTCCCCCATTCAAACAATCATCCATTCAACAATTTGCTTACTATTTCATGTATTTCTATATTTCTACACTAGGTGCTAGGACGAATCAACAGAAACAAAAGAGACCATCTTTGCTTTGTATAGATCAGTGCTTAATCAGAGTGTAGACTCTGGAGTCAAGCCTGGGCATAAATCCTGCCTCCGCCATTTACTGTGTGACCTTGGGAAAATTACTTAACCTCTCTGAGCCTCAGTTTCCCCAGCTAGAAGATGGAAGTAATAATAATGGCACCTGCATGAAGAGCTCAGCAAGATGTGGTATGCCAAGCAAGATAGTTCAGTGGAGATTCAGAGGCAGAACGATTGGGACACATGCCAGGGTTCAGGGAGGGTGAGGGAAGATTTGCAAGGAACTAGATTTTGGATTGGGGCTCATAAAACATAGAAGATTCAGTAAGGGGAAGAAAGGAAGGACAGAGGGGGAGCGAGGGCCCAGATGCAAATCTGAACGCGATTGTGGCCCACTCTGTGCCTTGACACTGCTGTGGACAGCAGGAAAAAGGCTACTGAGGGTTCACGTAATAGAACACCCTGTACCAGGCCCAGGAGATGGGGTTTCATCCTCCAGGCCAGTGGTATCCAAAGCAGGGGTGTATGTGGACCCCAGTGGTACTTACAGGTTGGCCTCCAAAGGCAGGGAGAAAATATTAGCAACCCTGTTTCTATTTTTACTTTTTTTTTTTTTTAATTTAGAGAAAGGGCTTGCTCTGCCACCCAGGCCAGAGTGCAGTGGGGCGATCGCTGCTCAATGCAGCCTTAAACTCCTGGACTCAGGTGGTCCTCCTGTCTCCGCCTCCCAAGGAACTGGGACCATAGATGTATAACATCACACCTGGCTAATTAAAACTTCTTTTTTTGTTTGTGGAGACAGTCTTACTATGTTGCTCAGGCTGGTCTTTGAACTCCTGGCTTCAAGTGATCCTCCCACTTTGGCCTCCCAAAGTGTTGGGATTACAGGCGTGAGCTATCGTACCCGGCCTGTGTGTGATACATTTATCTCATCTTTTTAAAATTAAATTTTATTTTTTAGAGGCAGAGCCTTGCTATGTTGCCTAGGATGGCCTCAAATTCCCGGGCTCAAGCAATCCTCCTGGCTCAGCCTCTTGAGTAGCTGGGACTACATACAGGTGCATGCTACCACGCCTGGCTTTACCTCATCTTTAAACTACATTTGAATGTGCAGAATACAAGGATATATTAGCACATACAAATACTTTATAGACGCCGGACTCGGTGGCTCAGCCTGTAATCCCACACCTTGGGAGGCTGAGGTGAGTGGATTGCCTGAGCCCGTGGGTTCGAGACCTGCCT